CATATGTTGCCCTGCGCGGGTATCTCCGGACTCATGGCACTGGTGGTCCTGTGTGCTACCTTCCCCCCCACCCCCCTATGACGGATAATTGATCTTTCCCCCTACACATTTTGCTTTCCCTCGTTAACAGTTAATTACCTCCTCCCCTTGATATGTTGGTTGCTTTCTTTAATGGTTAATTGGCCCCTTCCCCCTGTAAACATTTTGCTTGCTTTCTTTGACAGTTAATAAACTCCCCCTACCCCTGTTAATTTTTGACCGCTTTCGTTGACGGTTTTTTGGCCCCCTTCCCCCTATAAATGTTGCTTGCTTTCGTTGACGGTTTTATCTCTGACGTGGAATCCCGCAAGAGTTCGAAAGCTCAGAAAAATAAAACTCCGATTCCAGTGATCGAACCTGCCTCTTCTCTATATTACATCAGTGTAATCGTGAAGATTGCTATCTTCTGTTCGTTTGTTATATGAAAGCGTACTTACGGAAACCGAAATCAGACAAAACAGTCTGATTTACTCAATTCTTAATCTTCTTCGAATGTTTGAACAAAAATTGAACTGCTCTTCTTTTTCCATCTTCGTGTTATTACCTTAAAATTCATAGTTAAACTCACAAACTTCTGGTTGTCAAAGTACTTATTTTCGATACAATTCGATGAATCTTTCTGGGACTGATGATACCTGCCGTGAATCTGCTGTGCTCTGCAAATTTTTGCTATCTTTTCATAACAACAAAATACGGTATGCTTAAAGAAGACTAAGTCATGAGCTCTGTTAACACTTTTGTATTAATATATAGACGTGACCATTTATATGAACAATCGAAACATGTCCATCACCCTCGATACTGTTATTGGGATTAGACTCAATCGCATGCCTAATGTGACCTTCCTGCCAAGAAGATTCAAGGCCGGTTTTGTACCGTTCAGTGCAACATACAAACTGTGAACTTACAGTATGCACCAGAATTCGTGCAACATGCCTGCATATGCGAAATATTGATTCAATTTTGCTAACCGGCATTGAATCAGGTTGTGCTACTGATTATCGTATGGTCTATTTTGAAGTTATTTCAGTCATGATAGGATGCGAAATTTTTGACGAGCTTTGTTCTGACCACTTACAAAACGTATGTATATGTAAAAAGTAACTACTTAAATAGTATACGTTTTTACCATTCATTTTGACTGCCTTTATAAATTCAAATATATTTTATGGAAACCGTGCACGAAAAAAGTTTTTCTTGTACTCTTTTGGTAGCAAATTATGCCTTTTTTAAATTTTATGCCTAAAGAACGGAAATCCTTCGGTCTTAGAAAAATGTCTATTAATGAGCTTTTTTACCATTTTGAGGTATTCATTCATAATACATCGTATCCTTCAATTTATTAATGCTGCCTATATTGGATAGGTCATGCTCCACATCTATTGCGGCATTTTATGAGAACTTTGTGACTTCTTCCTTTGACTGTAGGCGAAAACGTACTTTTTATTAAACAGGATGTACACTGTACGCAATTTGTAAACTTTGAATTCGAGTGTAGCAGTTAGTAGGTTTCAAAATTATTTAGCTTTCTACTGCTGCACATTGGGTTATTTATGGGAATCGGACCACCCCCGGTCGGCACTGTATGAAATAAGTACAGCAGCATATTATCAAATGGACGAATTGACAGTCTGAACTTTAGCGGAAATAACATTGATGATATTAATGCGTGGATGCCAATGCACATAGGGTCAGACTTCTGGATTTTTCTTAATATTGCTACTGTAATTAGGTTGCGTTTTAAAACGTTGTGCACGGAAACAGTGGCTCATATTAGACATGTTGACTGCAAACCGTGTGTCACGGAGAAATGATCAAGACTTTGAGGTTATACTACTGAGCGTAGAATCGCAGCTTGCGAAAATAGCGTGGTTATTCCCCATAAGCATAACTTTTTACTGCGCAGCGTTATAAACGGTAGGAATTGGCTAGAATATCAGGAAAAGTTGGGTTCGCATTAGCACATTATTTCTTACAATATATTTATTTCAACTAAACCGTTTTTTTCGTAAACGGCATTTTTCGTATCAAGTCTACGCAATAAACAATGGAAAGAACCTCAAGTCAAATTTTCAACTTCATATTTTATAAGCTGAAAAACTGCTGCGTAAGCCCGCTATTTTTTTCAATACGGTGATTTGAACTGAACCCTTTTCCCTTAACCATTATTTGCCACATCAAGTCAATTAAATCAAAAAATGAAAAATCTCAAATATGTGATAAATCATTAAAGGAACTTTCAGTCTTCACCCTTCTTGTTTTAGAAAATCAATGGTATGCG